AAACAAGCTAGTTGTGGTTTTGTCCTTTCCTAGTATTGACACTTTATTCTCAGTTTATTGTGTCTTTGTTTTCTGCCTTTTCTAGAGATTGCCTTGTGTTCCTTTAGTGCTGTTAGTTTTTATTTTTTAAACTTTGGGGTTGTTACTTTGAACTGTTCTGTAATTTTATAACCACTTTGCAACTTTTATTTTTATAATTTTCTCATAAAATATGTATCTTGGAGTTTTTGATTTCAAATAATGACCTTGATGATTCTGCAAAGATCATGTGCTGCAGTATAAATGGCATGTAACATACTTCTTTCCTTAGAACTTATTCAAAGTCATAACATCCTTGAAACGTTGTATTTTTGAATTTTGATTTGGTTGATATGTTGCTGTTATTGGTGACTCGTAATAGCCTCTGGATATAAAGGTATGGCTATACAGATGCCAAATGAAGTAGTCATACACAATTTTGAAAGTGGTAAACAGAAACTCATGGTTATCTTTACCTTCGCATGCCTTTTGGGTATTTGTGTAACTGGTTTGAAGTTTCCTTGATGTATACTTCATATTTCCTTTTATTAATATTGAGATTAATCAGCATAAAAGTGATTTAATCAAAATAAATAAATTTGTTGTGAAGCCATTCTTGGTGTTATTAAGGATTGATGAAGTAAACAACTGAAGAATTTTGTTTGGCCCAACAGATAAATGTATGAAAGGTGATTGATTTATAGTTATTATGTGATTGTTGGGGTACAGTGTGGCGTGTGTCTGTATCAGGCTAAATTATAGAGTACAGGTATTATAACAACACGTTACAGTAGAATAATAGAATTATAATTTCTCTTATAACTGAGGTATACACAATGTTGTACAGCAGACACAGGAAAGTTCCACTTCACGTTTTTGATCACATGATTTAGATGCAAAACAAAATGACGTTTTCGAGTTGCTATGTATGTATAGATCATATATTGATATTCAAGCATAACTTTCCTTTTTATGTTGTTCTTCTCGGAAATCACAATGTGACGTAATCATGATGTCCTAGCAAAAGTTTCAACAGTATTTGCCGGCATTGACACTTTGTAAAATATTCTCTTGAACCGTGATATGCTGGTGGCATTTCATCTATTTTCATAACCATGCTTGCTGAAAAAATCATGTTATTAAGATCACACACAAACTGCCTTTAACCTACATCCATAATGCAACATTTTAATAAATTCAAACCAGGTTAATAGATGGTTGAGATCTCTTAATATGTTTAACAATGCCACATACTTTATAATTGCCGATCTTAAGTCCCAAAGCTGTAGTTCTATGTCTTTCTTTTTAGTTTATGATATTAAGTAAGCTTTGTCTATACTTTTTGTCCTTTTTGGTTTATAAGCTTTTCATCTTGAAATAAGTTTTGAATTAACAAATATTATGGCCTCGAGCATCTCTGAAGAGACATATATTGTCGAAACGTGCATCATCTTGTGAAGAAATATTGGTACTGTTAATTTTATAACCTTACTGCATCAGAGTGGAAGCAAAATTTTTGACTTGAGAAGTGCGAGAGTGGCTTAAGGTCCGAAGTAAATCCACAGGAAACCCTTATTCGAGACAGTTGAGACAGTTATCGATATACTCCTCGACTTTTTAAGTAAAATGGGATCGCTTTACGAAAGAAAGGTTATTTTCTCGCTGCGTTGAAGAACCATTGGTGGCCTTCGGCTGTTATCTGCTTTTTGGTCGGGTTGTTGTCTCTTTGACATATTTCCCATTTCCATTCTCAATTTTATCAAATTAAAAAGCTATACATTTCAGTATTAGTCTGTTTGATCTTATTCCGCTTGTCCGAAGGATCTGTGTAAAGGAGAAGTGTCTGTGCTATATTTATAAAGTAGATACAATTTCCTTGTTTTAGGTCGCGAAAAAAAATTTCCATCAAGTACAACGAATTTGATAAGAAAAATAATGGAATTTTTGATCGACCACATATTTGTTGAGTTTGATGGACTAACATTTCAACCGACAGTCTGTATTCCAATGGATACTAATTGTTCATTCCTACTGGCTGACGTGATTTTGTACATGTATGAAGTAGAACGAATATATATACTGAGCATTCTTAAAGACAAAAAGAAAGGCATCTTGCAAACAATGAAAATCCAAATGTGTAAATGTATTTTTCGATTATTTAATGATATTAGCTCTGGACATTTATTATTCTCTAAAATAAGACTGTTGTGTGTGTGCTGATATAAAGAATATTTCAAACAAATTCCTTTAAAGTTTTGTGAAAAGAGTTTCATTTTAGGTATCGAAATGTGTAACAAGTGCTTATTTAAATCCCCACTGGAGGGCTTCTGACAGACTGAGTGAGCGTAAAATCATTGTTACCGATAGCCGATGACAAACAAGTTAATAAAAGGTAAATGATTCAGTATTATTAACAACAGAAGTCACGGTTGTCCACACTGTTACGGGAATAGTCAACGGGAATGCTAGATCTGATGCCTTGCGTTGAAAGATCGATGACCAGACTCTAAGTACGTTATAAAACCCTTTCAAGAAGACTTGAGGTTCTGATTCTAGACACAATCTTTAGTCATGCTTAGCATGTCATATTCTAAAGACATTTCAAAATTTTACGACTATTCTATCATTCTATCTACTTTTCAGACATGCCATATTAATTTTAATGTACAATTGTTTTTGTTCTACATATATATAGAAATATGTGTCACTAGAAATTAAGCACATAAAGAATTATGGGTTACTAAAAACCTTTTAAATATTACATTTTTTCAATTGGTGGTGTTGAATTGTGGACATCTAAAATGTTCTTCATTAATTCTTTTGCAACATATTGAAATAAACGCAGTAAAATCGTAGATATTCTTAAAATACCTGATCTAACTCTTAAAATGAAATGGGATAACTAATGTGACAAATATCTAAACAGCTACAGACCTGGATGATTCTTCAAAGATCATGTGCTACAATATAAATGTTCAAAGTTTATAGAAAGCAATTAGTATTTCAAGGTTTAAATGCAGGACTCGTCTGAAAGCGCCAGGTGTCTAACGCAACGATTTCGTACATTATAACTACTTTCATTTCCTGGCTTCAATCTGATACAATTACTTTGATCACCGAATAAATGTTATCCTTACATAAACAATTCTGAACTTTTTTCTCCAAAATCTATAAAGCTTACAATAAGAAACCGTGGCTATTTGAATATCTAATTGTTCAATCCAATATTCCATAATCTTCCTTGATTTTTTTATTCATTTGACACTGTTAGTTGTTTCTTTTGATTGTTTGATTATTTTATAAAAGAAGTTAAATGATTATCTGGAATACTAAGTAGACGGTAAAGCACTTGGTATTAATTTTTTAAAGCAATGCTTTCACCAAATTGATATCAGTCGTTTCCTTCCTTACAAATTTGTTCAATATTGATGAATACGTTTAGTAACGTACTATGCATACGTAGGGGGTAGAAAAAGAGACTTTGTCTCATTTTTATAAAATTTCTTGGTTATTTTCCATCCAAATTTATTGTTTTGCTTTTTAGAGACTACCTTAGCAGGATACACCATTTTACAGTCCTATTTAGCTTATCATTGGACAGCTGTTGTCTTTTTTTTTAGTTATACATTGTTACCTTTTGTCTATCACGTATACGGTATACTAAAGTACCAAATTTTTATCCTGGGTAAATAAAGTCGCACTGGACCTTATCTGTCAAAATTGGGACACATTTGTGATATCTATAATGATGGGTATCAACCTGATTCACCAGAGTTCTTATTTTATCAAACGCTAAATTACAACAAGATACATAATGTTTCATGAACATCATCTTACCAAAGCTACCAGCAATAAATCAGTTTTCTTTTGAACAATCGTTGATGATGGTTTATTATCATACACATGCCATTTGATATGGGCTTAATTTGACCTTTTGACACAATTTGTAATGCATTTCTGTTATTCAATGTTTACTTATTTTGTGTTATATCTCGTCTCACTATTTTTAATATGTACCATCTTTGATATAGTAAGACGATAAATTTTCACTTCTGTACTCGAACTGTGAAAAATAAATTTATTTATTTTGTAAAAAAATGTTTCCGTACTCTTAACAACAAAATTATTATATTTAAATATACCTGTGCATGTTATTTTATTTAACGCCATTTTGTCCCAGGTTAGAGTTGTCTTTTTGACATTGTTCCGACATCTTTTTTTTTATTAATATTGTATCTATATTGTGTCATAGATCAAACTTATTCGTTCAGTATATGTTAACTTGTTTTTGTTTATATGTCTTTTTAATCGAGTTAAGCCATTCCAATTAATATTTTATAGTGTGTCTTTTTATGTTGTAATGTTACAATACTGTTTCAGGTTAGGGTAAAGGTTGGCGCATCTTAAAACGTTTAAACCCGCTGCATTTGTATGCACCTGTCCTACGTCAGGAGCCTGTTGTTCAGTGGGTGTCGTTTGTTGGTGTGGTTCATAAGTGTTTCTCGTTTCTCGTTTTTTATATAGATTTGACCGTTGGTTTTCCTGTTTGAATTGTTTTACACTATTCATTTTGGAGCTCTTTATAGCTTGCTGTTCGGTGTGAGTCAAGACTCCGTGTTGAAGGCCGATCTTTGACCTATAATAGTTTACTTTTTATACATTGTGACTTGGATGGAGAATTTTCTCATTGGCACTCATACCACATCTTCTTATTTATATTTGTAATTTATTCTTTCCCTCAATCTATAATAGTGTTGTTTGTCTTTGACGTTGTCCGAATATATATTTTTATTTATACAAAAAATCAATTTCACAGAGTGGTCGTTTCAACGAAAGAAAAACAACATATATTGGCATGAAATTTAAATTTGGTAAATATTATTTCAGAATAATAGATTTTCAGTGATGTTTATGCAAACAGTCCGTACGTTGTGATATTTTGTGTATTATGTCGATCATTTCAGAGTGATGGTCATTATTACTTTTACATTATAATATATAATATAACTCTTTGGTATTCAAATCCCTTCAAACAACAAAACAGTTACATATAGATTGTACGTTAAAGGCAACTCTGGGCTCGTCTAAGGTTGATTTGTAAATTACAGTATTTGTTTTCATTTCTCTTCATGTAATGCCGACATAAATGGCCTTTAGAGTCTATGTGCCATTTGAAAATCCTTGATCGTACATTCCGTGGAACATTATCTGTAGTAATGTCCGTTGACTGAGTGTTCAAAGAATTTTTGTTGGTCTCGTTTACTGTTCCTGTTGAACGAATTTCAAAGTTGTCATATATGCCCGACTGTGCCCGGTCCGAACATGAATTTTGTTCTTGAGATGCTAATCGAGCCGACCTATAATATCGAAGGTAGTGGTTGTATGGTCTTCGCCGACATACTCTCTTTAAGATCTCAGATTGAACCTAAAATTAAGAGATAAAAAACAATAAAACTCGAATATATAGTTAAACTCTTCACCAGGCTGAATGAACCTTAAATATTTATAAAAATAAAAACAGGTGTGTGTGTGTGTGTGTGTATGTGCATTAATAATTATGCCAGAGGTATTTGCAGAAATAACGATTAAATTAGATAAGTATTTAGGAGGATTGGGCAAAAAGTTTAAAGCCGCCAAACTCTTTATGTGCCAGTTACAAATCAGAAACCTGCAATTCAGTGTTTGCCGTTCGTTGCTTTGTTATTCGTTGATTATATTACACACATCAGTCAGTTGGGTTTCTTGTTTGAATTGTTTCATATTTGCCATGTCGGGGCTTTCTATAGCTTACTATACGGAATGGTATTTGATCATTGTTAAAGGCTGTAATTTGTCCTTTAGTTGCTAACATTCACATTCACGGCATTTGGACTAAGAGTCTGGTAGATAGGTATCTAATTGGCAATACTACCAGTTTCTTATTTTTACGCTAATTTATCCAATTTTATTCTACCTTGTAGTGTTGTCCCTCAGGCAAAGTTGACCTTAGATGGATTTGGCTATTTTGTTTTGGTATTTTTTGTCATAAAGCTCTTCAACTGTTTCGGTACTTGTACATCCTCGGCTTTCAAATACTCGGCTTTGAACGTTCCTGATGAAGGTAAATCAAGAAAAGCGCTTCGGACGCATGAAATTATTGTTGCTTTCATCCTGCACTTTTGTTACCTCCTTTTTTTACCCTGTTCACTTATTTCATTATTGTTTCATAAGCTGCAATTGTGTATAGTGATCATTACCCTAGCAAAGCAACCGTTTGATTTTTATGGTGAGGACTTATAAGAAATCTTAAAGAAAAAAGGAGAACCAAACTTTTGTGTACATATATATAATACCTATTGAGATGGTATATTAGACGGCGTTCAGTTCCACAATACACACGAACAATTGATACTTTATATTGATTCTCTGCATACTATTGTTTATATGGATTTTTATTTAAAATCTGATATACAATAAAGAGATTTGGTATAAATGCCAATCAGAAAACTGTCTAACAGAGTACAAATGAAGCGGATTTAAGCAACTATAGGTCACCGTTTGGTCCTCATCAATGATCAAAACCCATTCCGTAAAGTCAACTCTGAAAGAGCCCAACATGAAAAAATGTGTTACAAAATAAACAAAAAACCTACGGCCTGATTTATGACAAAACATTAAACAAACAACAAATATGACATACAACCAGCGACTACCACTGAAATACAGGCTGCTGACTTGGGACAATACCATATAGAATGTGACAGGGTTAAACATGATAACGAGCGCTCATCACTCCCCTAACCTGGGGCTGTGGTGTTATAGCACAACATAAGAACAAGCATATCAGATCGGCACATAGCACAAAACACAACTAACATTAATTCAAAAGACACATAGTATCGACCTACACAACTAACATAAATTCAAAAGACACATAGTATCGACCTAAGACTACTTGCAGTTACTAAAAGCTAATTCAAATAATAGTAATAACAACTAATACACAATCATTTTCTCCCAGAAATAAGTATCATTCAGTACACAACAAACAGAATTGTGTAAAAACGTCATAAACAGTCTGAAAAAAAACACGACCTTGTGCAATGCCAAAATATAAGTATTTAATATCGACAGGATGTAGGACCATTAATGTTCATGTATAATTTATATACCATGTATGTTTTAATATGTAACACATCAAATTTTAGAGTTGAAAAGACAATGTGGCGGGCATGAACTTGACAGCTAATGCCGCCTTTACTGTTAAACCAACATATCTATACGTTGTTCTGTAGGTGATCTACATAGTTTTCTAAATGATAGGTATTGAGGTGTGTTGTATACATCAGGTGGTACTTTGTTCATTTGTCATTGTAAGTCTTATCAAGGAACGACATGATATAAAATATTTCATTATTTCTACAGATCCAAAAGAGAATTGTAAAAATGTATAACATTATTTGCATCAGGAAAGGATTATAGAAGTTTCAGGTAAAATAAGTTATAAATAGTACATGTACATACAAAAAAACATTTTTACCATGAAGGTAATATTTTCCATATGTGACTGTAAAAAATGTCTATAGAAACTGTGGATGGCCAATCTATGATAGTTCCTGTTTAATTTATTAACAAATTATTTTAGACTTAGGACGATTCAACCCTCGACACAATGTCTGTTTGATGCCATCTAGATGTCATATTTGTTATTTTTGTCGTTATATTGTCATATCTTTTTGTTCATATTATTTAAAAGTACGTCTTTTGCCATAGAATCACATAATTCTGATATTAACCCCACCTCCTAATACAAAGCTCGTCAAGATTTTGATAAGGGTTAAACTTCATTCACATTTAAAGAGGACCTGGCAAAATAAACACGAGTGAAAAAAAGCCAACACGAATATTCATATGAATTTTGTCCAAATATCTTTCTCCAAAAAATGATTCTAAAATGATTTTTTTTCTCAGACAACTGTAATCACCATCGGATTTGATAACTAAGAGTAAGCATTTATTCTTTTCTGTTTTTGTGTGGGTGTTTTTTTATGGTTACTATTTCATAGGTATTAATAATATATCTAATTCACATTGAAATATATAAGGGAATTGACAATAAACGAGGGTTGTGATCAGATGCCAAAGTCTAAAGAGCAAAAACATTATATAAATACATTTCCTTATATTGAAATAGGGTACAAGTGTAAAGTCACAATAATTACGAATTTTGTATGCACTGATTTTCATATACCTTAGTGTATTGGCCCCCAAAAACAGTAGAAATTTGTAGCAACGAGAAGTAATAATGGCTAGTACAATAAAATAGGAGATCTTCAATTTCCTAAAAATAAATAAAGTGTTATTATGACTGAATAAGCATACAAAACAATGCATATTCGCAATAAACTTTGCCAAACTGCCATAAGCGTTTCAAAACCAGGAATGAAGACAAACACGTTGTCGTTATTCTCATCGATCGATTCGCTTAAAATTGTTATGAAGATTGAATTACCGATTTTATTATTTAGAAGACTATACGGAAGACAACATGGACCAAAGTTGCATGAAATATCAATGAATTTTTGTGACAACGATACATTTCCCAGTTTGACGTCTACTGATTTTGCATTCTACGGTAGCAAATTAAGACGTCAACGACAAAAACTATTTTTCCGTCATTCCTTGATTAGACTAATTTTTTACCGCTTAAATTCATTAGATTTGTGTATTTTGTTTATTCTTAATTACCTCTCCGTTCATGAAGCAAAATAAAATTGCTACCACTAATCCCTGAAAAAGAAAAAGTAAGTAGAAATAAATAGTATTGTTTTTTTAATAACAAACAGAAGCCAAATCAAATGGTACAAATGAAAGAGAATAAGAAAACAAAATCACAAAGCAGTCCGATGATAACGAAGAAGATAGAGACCGACAACTTATAAGCATATCAAGAAAAATCATAATGATATTTAAACTAAATAAAAAATAAGTATATAAAATAAATCAAGAAGTGTTATGAACCTCCTAATTATTATCAGGTTTTTAATTATCTGACAAAAACAACTATTATAATACATTCTTAATATACCCCCGCTTTAAAAAGTAGGGGTATACTGTTCAGTCCGTCATTCCGTCCTTCTGTCCCATGAATATTTTTCGTCGCATCTTTCTCAGAAATTACATAACAAGGATTTCTGAAATTTGGTTTCAGGATTTATATGAGTCAGGGTATATGTGATGCGTTTTCAGATTCATCACTTAACAACTTCCTGTTTACCGAACACTTGCATCATTTTACACATGATAGCCAAGTTGAAAATGTTCGTCACATTTTTCTTAGGATCTACAATACAAGGATTTCTGAAATTTGGTTTCAGGGTTTATATGAGTCAGCTATACCGTGTGATGCGTTTTCAGATTCATCACTCAACAACTTCCTGTTTACCTTATACTTTTAGCGGGGCAGGGGTATCATTAGTGAGCAGTAGCTCACAGATTCACTTGTTCTCTTTGTCTGTACAATTATAAAGCCAGATCATATTTCCTCAAAGAAAACTTATCGTCCGAAAAGGTTTCTTCCAATCACAGTCCAAATTAATTTATAAACCTTGAAAATGTTAGCATTTAAACGTATAAGCCTGTGTGAATATGTATTCAATCAATTTTGTGTCCATATCATGTTGAAATAATTCATATAAAGCCTTTACCAAACGTTACAAGCTGCCCTTGTAATTTTTATAACTGTAATTTAAATTGTAATGTAATTTGCTCACACTTTGTTGTCAATGTAATGGAATTTTATGCGAATGTCATACAAGTGAGAGGTTTAGCTATCTATAAAAACATAATGAAATGCCTGTACCAAGTCAGAAGTATGACAGTTGATTACCATTCGTTTGACGTGTTTGAGCTTTTGATTTTGCAATTTGATAAGGGACTTTCCGTTTTGGATTTTTCCTTTGAGTTCGATATTTTTGTTATTTTACTTTTTAATACATACTACTAATAAAGCAAATTACCTGAAATGAGCTGAAAAACATTTCAAAGTAAAGTTTGACTACTTCTGCCACAGGTGGAATATCATCAGGCACTCCTATAAATACTATGTAATGAATTCCAAATAATGGAATCAAAACTAATGTTGATTTTGCTAGACGCCTGAAAGTAAAAAACAACAAAACGTGATAACAATACATAACTTATTGGGTGAAATATGACACCGAAACCACAACTGTAAAGTTATTGGTGCCAGAACGATCCATCTTATGTGGTTTAAAGAAATTTAGGTATGCTATATATTGTAGCTTTTAAATGTATACTTTTGGCATAGATAAATGCATCGAACTTTTGAATGCTTTGAATATATTAATAATACTTGGTGTAGCTCCGTCGAACACCAGACGTTGAGTCGTGAAAGACATATAACTATTCAAAATTATACAAAAATTATACAATATTACAAAACTTAAACTGTACATATACTATATCCAATGATACATAAAAAGGAGGAAATCCACATAGCTCTGTCTGTTTAATAAATTGCTATTTCCTTGACGGATCTCGAAGGGTATCCAGGATATTTGGCGCTCTTGTTTGACACTAAAAGGGTCTGTTGAGATCTTATATTCGGTCAAATTTATTCCATTAAAGTATAGTACATAAAACGCGACAAAAACAACAAAATCATACCTGTACTTATTCTTTCTCGCTGACCTTGACAACGCCTTTCTCATCTTAGTATTCAACGACCATAAAATATTAATGAAGAAGAAAAAGTTCACCTAAAATGACAATCAATATTAAGTGGAATATATTTAATGGTAAAGAAAGTGCAACTGCAGTAGGTTGTAGCATATCCACTATTCATTAGTCGTGAAATTTATAGTGTTGTTTTCATTTTTTTAACACACTGGGTCGATACCGCTGGTTGTGGACAATTAGTCCCCACGGGTATCATCAGCTCAGTAGTCAGTACTTCGGTACTGATATGATTTATATGAAACCTTTCATAAATTGTCCGTTTATAAATTAAGAAATTATCATAAAAACTAAGGTTTCAACTCCATCAGGCAAAGTTGACCTCAGACGGATTTGGCTATTATTTTAGGCCCTTTTGGTCAAAAAGCTCTTCAACTGTTTCGGTTCTTATATAACCTTGGCTTTCAAATATTCGGTTTTGAGCAATCCAGAAAAACGCTTCGGACACATGAAATTTATAAAGTGTTGTTTTCATTTTTTGAATTTAATGTTTTAGATTTGTTACTATTTCGTCATAAACATGTTTGACATAGAATAACCATTTTAAAAGTTGTTGGCCAATTTACATATGACACAAGGCCTACACAAAAAGATGTTTTACCCAAATTAATATCCTTGTATCAGACATCTTATGACATAGTATACATTTGAGAGAGAGGCCTTGTCTCATATCTAAATGTTAAAGACAAGATCTCAAAATAAGGCTATTTGGGCAGGATTTGCAGTTTTGAATCAAATGTAAGAAATTTGAAGCCCAAACTAAAAAATAAATTTAAATGGAACAACACGAATTTTATAAAGACAAGAGGTTCATAAGAGATCCGGCTCATTTTGTATCATATTTAGCTGTTTTAATGCTTTCAACATTTATTAGTCCACACCGTTTTTTTTATCGTAATGCGGCTTGATTGGAATTTTAGGAAGAAATTATACTCAAATCGCTGTCTTTTTCATGCCCAATTTTTCTAAAACAATTGAACTGATTATTAGTATGACAAAACTTGACAGCAAGGCGTAAAATAACAAGTATTTCAAGGGGCAAAAAGCACATAATGAAAAGTTGATTAGACAATTGTGTCTTCTTTGGTCAAAGACTGGCTATCAGCTGTTTGTTCTCATTTATTATTAATGTTTTTCAAATCATAATTGGCACACAAATGGCATGTTGGTTGAAAAAATTCAAAAGTTAAAAAAATAGTTTACGACAGAAAGTAGTATAAGTGTAAGAGTGTAACATTCATAGTGGAAAATTGTAATGTTCATATATAGTGTTAGGAATTCTAGAGTAAATGAAAAGTTTTACACATTAATGATTATGTTGTAAACACATCATTAAGATGAATGTCATTGTTTACATAAAATCTGAAGAATTTGGTGGCACCAATTCAACGGAAAAAAATGTTTGGATCGTATCATGATGAGATTAGATTCCGAAAAAAAATAACTGATCAGAAATGAAAAGGGTATTGAAATCGTTGTAAATTCTATGCATTGTCTGTAATGCAATGTCCTTGCAGTGTAATGCGTATATAAGTACATTTAATGTAATGGTTTGCATATAATTGCCTGATTAACCTAAAACGACTGATTCAAAATTCATTTTGTATATAAATAAGACGTTCTTATTTAAGTAAAGATTCATCCACCGAGATGAATTGAGCACGGCATTTTGTTTTCGCTTTCCACTGTGTTTGCCTCCGTGTTCTCAATATTTTTGTTCAAATATTAGTTATTCAAACTGTTTTCCAAAAGCGTACCTGGAGAAGTTGATTTTTAGAAACGCATGTTGTGTGCAATACAATCGGTATTCATGTAGCGGAGTTAGCAATCTTAATCAATCCAATTCTAAAAATGATGTATAGCATTCTAAAACCTAAATAATTACCACAATACTTAAAACGACTGGTCCTCTCAATATCCAAAAATAACCAGGTGTAGGATTAGTATTCCAACATCTAAAAAATAGTAAATACATTAAAAGATAATGCATGTTTCTGCATTTTGTGCTAGCTACACACAAACTGAAAAATGAGACTCATTCAGCAATCAAGGAAATAATTTTTAAATGAAGAAATAGGAAAGTTCTATAACGTACTGCCGATTCTCTGCATGTTAAGAAATATCCATTAGCCTAATGAGGAGTAGCTAATATATAATACTACTAAGGAATAATAACCGATGTACCGAACCATCTGCATCTGAAACCGGAATACAGAGTATCATATGTATTTGTTGGACAATTGGGAAGTTAAAATGTTGGACAATCGGGAATTATTGATTCTAGCAAGCTGTCAAACCAGGTTCAACTCAACATTTTCATCAGAAAATGCCTGTACCAAGTCAGGAGTATGACAGTTGTAAATTCTTTCGTTAGTTTACTAACTCTTACGTTTTAATTTGACAGTTTTGATGTTCGATATTTTTGTTATACTTTTTTGATAGTACTTAATTTGTGTAATAGGTGTGTAGCTGATAACGACAGGTAACTAGGCAATGTAACTTATAAGATTTTACATAAACATGGGGAAAAGTTGGTATTTAACATTATAAAATAATGTTGGAGAATTAAAAATTTGATGTGGGACAATCAGAACTCTAAAACATTAAAAAGTGGGACGATCGGGAATAAATCTGAAGAAACAACATGAAATAAATATCACTACCGGAATCGTTTATATCCAATCATAGTAAAGGTCCAAATTACAATCTCCTGGAACAAACTGAACATTACTTACAGACTGTTTTCAAATGTTATCCTTAATCCAACCCATGGGAATACAGACAACGTTGGTAAGCCTGTAAACATAAAAAAAAACTATTAATATATCATTTTTTACACTGTAGCAGACTATGGAACTGAATCATTCAAATATTTGTTCCAAACCATATCGGTTGAAAATATTAGTAATATATATTTTTCATTTTTAATTGTTTATGCTTTCCTTTGCCGCTATTAATCTCAACAATATATAAATACATTGATTTAAAGGAACAACATGAAAATTCAAAACTCAACAACGAATTAAAATGTTGCAAAGAGCATAAGCTTTCAATGAGTTTTATAGATATAATAAGCCGACCATGATAAACAATATTTTATTTTCTCGTCTCGTTTAAAGCATTTATATGGAAGGATGTTTTTTTTAAAATAAATTTACAATTGTCTAGACCAAAACTGTTTCTATTATTTGTTCACAGGAATGTCCGTGCAGCATCCCTTTTTAATAAGTACCATAATAACATAATTATTTCCTAATTAAGCCAAAGTATACGAGATTAGTATAATTAACTTCACTAATAATATAGTTCAAAGACCGTTCTAAGTCTTAATTTGTTACTTATATATACCTATTAGTACTTACAAATTGCTGAACGCTTACATGATAATACAATTATTTCAACATATTTATTATCGAATTTTCCGTTAATATACACGAACAAAAGTTAAGAACCATTTGCTTTCATCTGTTATTAGTATATTAATTTCGTAATAAAGCCAATTTCATAGAAAAACAGTCTAGCTAACGAGCTGGAACATAATACCTGTCATTTTTCTGCATAACCTACAGTTGAATTGATTGATTGACAATGATAACCATTTCTCAAGAGCTTATACGAGAGAGAGAGAGAGAGAGAGAGAGAGAGAGAGAGAGAGAGAGAGAGAGAGAGAGAGAGTAACGAGCCGCCATTCTTCTCCTCTAAGAAATTCATATATCATGTATATCTATTATATAGTCATTTTATAAAATTTACTGTTTGCTAAATTATACATTATTCTAAATAATAAGGATGTTCTTGTCCCAGGCAGAAAACCCTGGCCGTGTTAGGCGCAACTTTTTGGAAGTTTTGGTCCTCGGTGCTCTTCAGCTTTGTACTTGATTTGGCTTTCAAACTTTTTTCAATCTGAGCGTCACTGGTAGGTCTTGTGTGGACGAGACGCACGTCTGGCGTATTGAATTTTAAGCCTAGTACCTTTTGCTAGCTATTATTCGTGTGTTTCTTTGTCCTATATGTTCTCCCATTTATTTGTATTGTGGTCCTGTCATGTGATGTTGTCGTTTTGGCGTTTGACGTTGCCATAAAAGCGGGAGGTTTGGCATGCCACATAACCAGGTTCAACCCACCATTTTTTTCTTAAAATGTCCTGTACCAAGTCAGGAAAATGGCCATTGTTATATTATAGTTCGTTTCTGTGTGTGTTACACTTTAATGTTGTGTTTTTGTTGTGTCGTTGTTCTCCTCTTATATTTGATGCGTTTCCCTCAGTTTTAGTTTGTAACCCGGATTTGTTTTTATCTCTATCGATTGATGAGTTTTCGAATAGCGGTATACTACTGTTGCCTTTATTTATGTAGAAATATTTAATATATTGTTCATATCAAATATATAGACCATAAAATCTACAACACGTTTACATGTGCACCATCATAATTATTTTCAGTCAGTTAAAACCAACCCTCAATTATCAATAAAAACATCATACCGAATTTTATACTAAATCACTTTATATATGGTGGGGTACATGTTGCTAAGGCTCGAGTTTTCAGTTTAGCGGTTTGTGGACTCTTGTGTAATGTCATCGTTTATCGTTTTGTTTTGCCATTGTGTTTTAAGTTTTTCTTCTACTTATGATTTTTGATTGTCCCTTTAGTATCATCTGTCTCTTTACATTTATATATTTCCCACATTGCAGCACATAATCTACCCAGTAAGCCAAAAGTATATGCGATTAGTACAATCAAGTGCATCCATATTATTTAATATGTCTAGAATGTTGCTAATATTTCTATCAATACTTTAATGACAATAAAAACGTAATACGCTGACAACAATTTTGCTTTCGGTTGTTACTGATCATTTTTATATTCAGTGATGTAATTTTACAGGAAGAATTTATTTAACCACATTTAAATTTAATCAACTAGAAACGTACTTTTGTAAAGACATTTCCTTTTATCTCCTCTGAGAAATATTTAGTTACTAATGGTGTATTACATTACAAATAAGGTAACAAATCATTATGAACAAATGCAATTATTTTGGCAAAGTTCTGGCAATATCAAATAAAAATTGAGAATGGAAATGGGGAATATGTCAAAGAGACAACAACCCGATCAAAGAGCAGACAACAGACGAAGGCCACCAATGGGTCTTCAACGCAGCAAAGTCCATTTGGGAGTTTCATGACAGATTTGAAAGATATACTTATGCTTAATTCTATTGCCAGTATGCATTCAATATTGAAATTACTTTTGTAAAATAAGACTGTTAAATCCTTATTAAAAAATGAAAACAACACGTTATAAATTTCATGCGTCCGAAACGCTTTTCTGGATTTTCTTAATTAGGATTACAAGGACCGAAACAGTTTAAGAGCTTTATGACCAAAAAGGACCTTGAAATAGCCAAATCAATCTAAGGTCAACTTTATATTAACCTGACTATGGTAAATCTGGATTAGAGAGGACATCAATTTTTCAATGTTGGTATCTATGATGAGTTTATTTATATAAGATTTTCATTCAGCTCCCTTAACTATAATGTAGAAATAATAGTTGAAAATGTTTTTTTTTTTATACTTTTGCCATGCATCAATGTTCTGTGTCTGTGATTCGGTTTGTCACAGGAACATATTTAAAACATTATATGACGTTTTCCAAATCTGCAGTATTTAAATAATGATAATTGGTTTCATTTCCAAGATAAACATGTTTTTTTTAATGATAGGATTATCGTGAGTTTTAAAAATACTGTTTGCATCGACCATTGATGGTACACATAAATAAATTTTAAAATGATTACAAATGAGATATGAGGCATACATTGATATTACTGCAACATAACGACACAAATAACCTCTTTTGATGTTGTACTCTTAAATCACTGTTCCAGATTAGGTGGAGGGTTTGACGTCAACAAACATATTTAATCCCGCTTAACTCTGTATGTGCCTGTCCAAAGTCAGGAGCCTGTAATTCAGTGGTTGTCGTTTGTTGCTGTATGTCATTTTTGTTTTTCTTTTATTGTTTTGTAAATACACCTTGTCGTTAATTTTCTCGTTTGAATTGTTTTACATATGTCATTTCGGGGCCTTTTATTGCTTACTTTGTGGTTTTAGTTTTGCTCATTGTTGAAGGACGCATGGATATATATAATTGTCAACTTCTACGTCATTTAGTCTGGTGGAAAGTTGTCTCATTGACAATCATACCACATCTTCTTATTTCTATATATCGTATTAACAAGAGAATTATGGTCAATCAGCTTAAAAGCCAATATCCAAACCAAAAATTGTTTGTAGTACGTACTACATCTACAAAATATCAGGCGGTATTTTAGATCTTTATGAAATTTTGAATGCATTTGGAGCTCGTGGAATTCCATCTGAGTATAGAAAAATTGATAAATGTAGCATTCATCCTTTCAGCAACAATGAATAACAAAAGGGACGATTTAAATTCTCACATTCCTTTTTGTCCCGTTTAACCCCTTACCAAACGCATCTTTGTTAGCAACAATATATTATATAATAAACATACGTACCCCAACCTAGCAGTATATACCATCTAACACATTTCCGTTCTGAAAATACTGAGACCATTATTAATATATACAGGTGTAGTCCCTCAACAAATATCCACATATAACTTGCAGACAGTATGTAGTAAAACGTTGTAAAGAGGAGTTTACATTCCCAATGCTGCAATTAAAAAAATACTTAAAACAAAATACTTTGTATTCATTAAGACTTGTCCTATTGGTTTATACTCAGCTATATCGATCGTGGATATTTTGGTTTCTTGGATTGAAACAAAAACAACTAAACACGTCCTTTGATTGTATGGCAACAAGAACCCAACCAAACACTGTAGGTTAAACTCAGGTGCCCGGAGAGGTAAGCAGGTCATGCTGCCCATGTAACACCTGTCGTGTTGCTAATGCAAGAAAAATATAGGTGAAATGTCCTACTCGGGATCGTAGTTACTATTAATGGAACATATCAATGGTCATCTGGGACACCGATATTCCGAAACGGTCACCAAAATCATGATGGCGTCCGTAAAACTTTTTTATGGGAGGCTTCAACTCTATGATTTGGAACATTTGGCGCAATAGCTTCCTTGTAAATATTTATCCTCTACCAAGGTAATCATGATAGGAAACGCAAGCTTTGGATTATCGTATCAACTGGGAGATATAATATCCCATATGCAGTCATTACTGGGATGTTGCTACACTAAATGGGAAGTTTACCTACGGAAAATTGAATTCATCCCTTTTTGATAAAGTTTAGTTCTCAACCAACCTTGATGTTCAATTTCATAATTCCAAATGTAAGTCAAGATATGAGACATACTATGGTATCTTTTATTTCAATTTCATTGTTTCATTGAGATATAAGAAGTCAATTTATTCACCTAACTGTGAATTATTCAGTGAAAGGATATCATTTATATAGTGTGAATTGAAGTTAAAAGATAATGCAAGCCTTCGTTTTCATTTTTTTTAAAAGCTTCTGTATAAACCATGTGAGATTTCCAAGAAAACATTATGTGACACAATGATTGCCTGTGCTAGTATACATATTTTGATCTACTGAAACAGGAATTTTAAGTTGCACCGACCATAAAAGACTTAAAAATTTAAAATACATGTATACGTTAGGCTTTCGATCAATGTTCAGAGATGTCCACTTATAATTTAATATTGTTAAGACACTCAACTAATGTTCAGTAAAAATCGGCTGGTTTTTTTTGGGTAGCTTTTATTGACCTTTGGCAAATCATACAATAAATTGCATAACAGAACAGGATCGACATTAAACAGTGTGCCTACGCAGTACTGAATTTACCTACGGGAACATGTGTAAAAACACTTACTAAATTTAAAATCAAGAATAATTTATGTATGAACTATACATATTTCAGACATTCCTAATCAATTAAACTATGCCATTCAATAAATGAAAATAATATGATAAAACGATGAAACTTGAGCAAATACACGTGGATATTATTTGGTATAATACTGAAAGAACACTGAATATTGTTAGGGCATCAAACGGTATTGCATTATGAATTTAAATAATTTATTAGAAATTATAATTTTTTGTGGTATTTCTTACACCACGCAAAATATCTATCTATCTAGTATATTTAGATAATATTTCCTTGAATATATATCTCATATTAAGACGCAACACACAAACCTATATCATGATTCGTTACAATAAACGAGCACATAAATGAATTCTTAAAAATTAACTATTAAACGATAAAATAAAATTGAGAATAGAAATGGGGAATATGTCAAAGAGACAACAACCCGACCAAAGAGCAGAAAACAGCCAAAGGCCACCAATGGGTCTTCAACACAGCGAAAATCCCGCACAAGGAGGCGAGCTTCAGCTGACCCCTAAATAAAAATATGTACTAGTTCAATGAAAATGGACGTCATACTAAACTCCAAAACATATAAATGAACTAAATTAAAAAAAAAAAAAAACTTACAAGACTAACAAAGGCCAGAGGCTTCTGACTTGGGACAGGCGCAAAAATGCGGCGGGGTTACAAATGTTTTGTGAGATTTCAACCCTCTCCTATACCTCTAGCCAATGTAGAATAAACAAACACACAGCAATACGCACAGTAAAACTCAGTTTAAAAGAAGTCCGAGTCCGATGTCAGAATAGGTAACAAAAGAAATTAAGCAAAATGACAATGATACATTAATTAACAAAGAATTACTAGCAGTTACTGACATGCCAGCTCAAGACTTTAATTAAACTGATTGAAAGATTATGGCGTCATCATATGAAAATCAAGCATAATCCCTCTCGTTAAGGGTTTAGTATCATACCATCATAAAATATACGTGAAGAACATAACCCGTATCATGCCAACAACTGGTTTTAGAACCATCGTTGTAAACAACGTTGCAAACAAGTGGACCATAGAAAGTTACAATAAAAGTGGTGGGTAACCTGCATGGTTTATCGATTGATTTCTGTAATGTACCCATCGGAGAATATAATGTTATCAATCTGCTTACCCTTCCGGAGGACCTAAGATCACTCCAAGATTTTTGTTGGGTTCGTGTTGCTCAATATTTGTTTTTTTTATGTTGATGTTTCCTGTACTGTTGTTTGTCTGTTTGCCTTTTTCTTATTTAGCAATGGTCTTGTCAGTTTATTTTCGACCTTTGAGTTTGAATGTCCCTTTCGCCTCTCTTTTTCAAACTACAAAATAGTAATGTGAACTCTTCTTCTGAATAGGTCTTCCTTGGTTTGAAAAACAAAAACAGATCTATTTTTGTTGATTATTTCTTTCAATTGTCTAAGAAATCTTATTTACCTCACTTCGATAATAAAATAAAAGTACAAAGTAAGTTTGATGAAAGTCCCAAATACTAGGAAAATGAAACATTGTCATTGTAATGTGATGAACATAAACTTACATATAATATTTAGGATATAACCGACTTTTTACTCTCAATACAGTCAACGGTTCAATGTCATAAGATGTTTGAACAATAATGATTAGTATAACACTCAATAATTAAATTTCTTAAATGAAAGACCACATTTCGTTAATGGCTGTACTTGTAATGCAACATGATTATTGCTGCAAATATAACAATTATGTTACATGTAATTCTGCATAGCTAAATTAACGTTAAGCCTTACCGTGCCATTAGTTATAAATATCACAGTATCATAAGGAGTCTGTTCGACATCCCCTGGCAGACCTAGTCCCTGGACCAGTACATTGTCTCGTATAATTGTCACCAAAGAACGTAATATGAATGATATGAACAAATTTACGTGAACAGTATTTCTGGGACAATGCAGGCGCCTGCAATTAAAATATGATATATTAATACAGAAAAAAACTATTTTTTTTTGGACATACAAACGCCGATTTATGTACAGTCAGCTGAAAATTTTGAATCGAAAATGTTTAACATAAAACTGCTCAGTTATGATTGAAAATAAACTTATCATAGATACCAGGATTGAAATTTTGTATTTGCGCAAGACACACGTTTTGTCTACAAAAGACTCATCAGTGACGAAAACATACAATGTGAGAAACTTCACAATACTGTTAAAACCTTATTTTATAATGATCTTATAAAATGTATACTTTAAGTTAACATATTCTACATTTCGATGAAAATTATTATTCATTCATAGCTATTGAATTTAAGGTGGATGAATTTCAATATCTTTATCCTCCTTTCTTTTATTACATTCAACCCTTTAAAAATTGTTAGCCCTATCTATAGGTTTTTCGCTGTACATTTTTGTGGCAGGCCCTTCATTCTTAGTTTTAGCTTTGGAAATCTATCTCCTAAATATACTAATTGCGTAAAATATGTAAGAGCACAATAAGTTGTAGATATTTGACTTTGATAAGGACCCCTAATATCAGTTGAAAATACATAGATTTTTTTTGAAAACCAATACTGTTGTTATAAGGGTAAATTCCATATAGAATAATTGTACATCAAATTTAATTTCGGACTTAGATTAGAAAATGTGAAGTAAGTCCGCGTATGAAACACATCAATCTGCGATGGGGACGATAAAATGGGATGGTCACACTGAAGTGCGATGGTCTGCCGTTTTGTCTTATAACATGAACGTACAATGTAGTGTTTGAGATGGTGATCCGATATGGGACCATGATAGAGCGACTATAAAAGGATAGATCTCGTGATCCGACAAAGAATTTCATATTTCCTCCAGTAAATATTGCAGAAAAATAATGCAACAATCTATCTTATTCCGTGCTCTCATTCACAGCAGCCGAATATACTTGTTATTAATGTGACCAAGGAAGTAGTACTTGAATTTGTAATAAATTCCTCGTTTTTCAGTATTTAAAATGATTACTGGTTTGAATGAACAATAACCTTTGCATATAGCGTCTATAGTGGTCAATTTTTAAACGCTTGCATGAACGTTGGGTTATTTTGTCGAAGCCTATTTACAAAGTAAACAACAACGTTTCAGTTATGATACGACATGAAATGACTATTCATCATGGTATTCTCGGTGATTTACTTAAAAACCCGAAAAACTGCTTCTAACAAACAAATCGTCTTCTACATCGAAATGAGACTATGAAAAACATTAAAAATATAGTTTATGTAATCCGTCGCACTTCAGCGTTACCACTAACGCACTTCAGTGTTAGCACTAACGCACTTCGGCGTAGCTATTAACAAGATAGCGCCACAATGCTACCATCGCACTTCAGTGCGATTAAAAACGCATTTCAGCATCTAACCACCACACTACAGCGTGACCATCGCGGTTCGGAGTACCATCGCGGTTCAGAATCCTTCATATATGTGCATTTTATATTACAAATGAAGCCGTACATTTCAGATTGGACAGATACGATCAGTTCAGTCGCTAAACGTTTGAAGTAGAACTTTCGAAAAAAAGGAAAAAATCTCTTAAACCAAAAACACATGAGAAGATTTAACATCACAAGAAAGTGGATAAACATATGAAGATAACAATTACACACAAAACTTTCTTCTAAAGACACTGGATAATAAATAAACAGCTGCATCATGAGCGCATGATACGCCCGTCGCTTTTTCAATAGATTTAAACCAGTCATCAAAGTTTCATGAAAACTGTTCAAAGCATTTTTGAGTAATTGTCCGATAACTGGAAAATCCCCCTTTTTAATGAATAAAACCCCATAACTCGGAAACGTAATATCTAAATTTATAAAATTCGAAAGAGAGCGCACATCAATAGACATAAACAATTCACCAAAGTTTCATGAAACTGTTCCAAGCATTTTTGAGTTATAGTGCGAAAACTGGAAAACCCCCCCTTTTAGAATGAATAAAACCCCATAACTAGGAAACGTAAAATCTAAAATTTATGAAAATTGAAAGGGAGCTCACATCAATAGATATAAACAATTCATCAAAGTTTCATGAAAACTGTTCAAAGCATTTTTGAGTTATTGTCCGAAAACTGGAAAATCCCCCTTTTTTAATGAATAAAACACCATAACTCGGAAACGTAAAATCGAAAATTTATAAAAATCGAAAAAGAGCTCACGTCAATAGATATAAACAATTCACCAAAGTTTCATGCAAATTGGTTAAAGCGTTTTTGAGTTATTGTTCGACATGTTGACGCCGGACGGACGGACGGACAACGTTATACCATAATACGTCCCGTAAACGGGCGTATAAAAATGGAGTATTTTTCTGGTATGTGAACGTTTTCAAAATATACCCACTTATTTTGAGAGCTGTTTTTTTTCTAAGCAGGTCTTAGTATTCAGTATTCTAATTGAACCGTAAAAACCCCATAATAAACTGCATAAAACATACCTAAAATATACCATAACAAACACGGCTAAACTCAATGACACCAAGGATATACCATAGCCGATATTGTACATAATTTTGATGTTTTCTAAATGTTGCTGAAAATATTGAAAAAAATCAAATTATCATAAGTAATTTCATCATGGAAAATATCATCTACCTCTGTAGGTATTTTTATTGTCATATTCAGCATATAAAGGTCGATATTTTTCTACGATAATAATACAAAATCCATGACTTTTAAATATTTGGCATTGAGCGTTCCTGATGAAGGTAAATCAAGAAAAGCGCTTCTGACATTATACGATTTACAAAACGAATTCTGGTATTTTGTTCTGGTCAGAAGGCAAAAATGTCGAAAACATTGCTATATAGGCTACCGTTGAATCCTACCAAAAACTAAAAAAAAAAAGAAAAAGATATATCAGCAGGGAATGATCTTGCGCATTATTTTGAGACAGATATACAAATGATTGATAAAAACAAATCAATGCGTGTTCCTTGGGTATCAATTTTCGCTGATGTCGCGTTTCAAGCAAAACTTGAAATTTAATATCTAACGACATATATATTTTCCATTGAGTTCTAATGTAGTAATCAAAAACCATGCCATTTGGAAAAGGACAGTGAACAGATATTATGGAAATTGGAGCCGATTTTTACATCAGCAATCAATTTATGATTTCATATTCTGCCTATATATTTACTAAATGGCATTGAAATTTGAGCACTTTGAATGTTAACTTATTTTGACATTGACACAAAAGAAGGCCATTTAAGAAGCCGAAATATTTGTCAATACAATGGTGATACCTCCTCTTTTCCGTATTTTACTATCTTTTATCGGCACTTTGTACATGTTTCCTTTGATCTTACTGCCAAATGGATTGTAAGATCATGGACTGGACCTGTTAGGCAATGACGGCATGTATCAATGCAGTTTTGTCACGTGTTCATTTCTATCATCCCCGTCGATTTATCAATGAAATGCACGCAACTTCATTCACACAACCGAAAAACTATGACAACATTTTTTACTTACTTTTTCATGTTATTTCATATCCTCAACCAAAAAACATTTGTTAAGACATATTGCCGACAAAAAGAATAATGGCATTTTAGTTTTTGATATTGATTTGCTCAGCTCGAATATCAGCTTGATATTCTTGCTGAGAAAGTCAGTATCAAAAACAAAAATGCCAATACTCTATATATATATCGGTATCGCTGCACCATTCTTAAGACTTTTATAAGGTAATCAATTTACGTTGTAATCCTAGCATAAAAAGATGTCATTTTTTTAGGTTATTCAAAATAAAGTTCCCCCCTTTTCAACGAAAAATTTGCACATCCACACATGGAGCATAACAACTGTACACAATTGTGTTCCAGTCCCATTCATACTTTATGTCGAAAATGATATGCACATACTGTTTTCACAAACAATTAATTTGGAATTGAATATTATACATAATGTCAATTGTCGGTGAAATACTAGCAGAATAGATGCTTCTTAAAACTTATATATGCATATCTTCAAATGACGCACAACAATTGGATACAATTGTGTTTATGTTCGTTGTTCTCGTCTACTGGGTGTCAATTCAAGAATTCAGAGTGGTATAGTCTTTTAATATTTGCATAGGAAACTCCTCTCAAGTCGATCGGTATCAAATTATATTTGTAAGGAGTTCTCGACACTGACGTCAAGGTATCATTTAATGTCTTCCCCTCGTTCATCTGTAGATGAGTAAACAATAATGCTGGATTAATTTGGAACAGTTCATTAAGTGGATATGAGCCTCTTATTGAGATAAAATATCAAAAACAGCTGACATTCAATTTCAAATCTAACGTACTCTTATTGTAATGATAAATATTAAAAATTACCTGTACTAATGTTGGAACCATTGTCGGTTGATTTTGCTGCCTTTGATTAAAGCAAGATGTATAATTTGTCCATGTCTTATTCAAACCATTGTGAATGTACCATCTTCCGTCTGACATACAATGTTTCGATGCATTATCTGAAGGAAAATTTCTCATCAATTATTTATGCATCTTGATACCACAACTGAAACAAAAGGACATAGTTTCATTTCTTAGGCAAAGCTGTCAATAGACGAAATTAACTGCTTAAAAGTAAAATAAAAAGATACCGAACTCCAAGGAAAATTCAAAACGGAAAGTCCTTTATCAAATGGCAACCTCAAAATCTCAAACACATCAAACGAATGGAAAACAACTGTCATATTCCTGACTGGGTACAGGCTAATAGTTTTGATACTCACAAATTTTGGCTTCCTAAAACTCTTAAAGTTTTGTGTAGAAAATACCCGATGAAGGTTATTCTAGAAAGGTTTGTCCTGTGCAGTAATATAAGTATAAGGTTGATATCAATAAAAATATACTTTATCATGATCCATTTTGAATTAAAATATGCAGATATTTATATAAAAAAGTGCATCATCTACAATACAATTACAAATTCCGTCTTGAGTTCTAATATTGTAAATGAATAGTATACAGAAACTCACTGTTGTAATAAAATTCATGGATATAATCCGGACATGATAGAATAACCTCTTCATCTGCTTTGGTCTCTGGCCAACAAAGTATACCATCCCAGGTTCTATTGCAGTATACCTCTAAAACAAAGATAATAAAAAGAAGTAGTAAGAAATAAAATTCCAATTGCCCGCCAACAACTGATAGGTCTTTTATTTTAATTTTGTAAACCATTAGTCATACAGACACAGAGTGCTTTAAAAAGCGTTAAAACCAATTAAACCCTTTAAAAAGGTAAAAACACACACAATTCATTATCTTGGACGTGGTATTGACCTTTCACCTGATGATCTTTATCAAGGTCATTGGTCCCCGATGTCCTTGCAAACTTATACTTTTAGGTCTTGGACCTTTGGTTTCTTAGTTATAGCTAATAATTCTAGATATGTATTGATGGTACGGATACAAGTGTGAAGTTGATTAGAACATGTCATACGGTTACGGAGGAAATTTTGCCAAAGTTTTGCAGAAAAAAATAGAATAATAATAATCATAAGTAATAGAGTAAGGGTTTCCCTTTTGAATAAGGAAAGACCTTAATAATGATAACTCAAAACTATGTATTACTAAGCATCACAGCATATTGAATATACGATATAACGGGTGTACTGCACCACCTTCAGCTGTAGAGGCATATATCAGGTATTCACCAAAGAGCATTGCTTAAAAACTTTAACAGATTCGATGGTTGAAAAAAGATTCCAAAAACCAGGAAATTTAAACACTATTTTCATGTTTATAGATAACGCAAATATGTGTAATTCGATTGCTAAAAAAGTGTATCTATTTTATTTAAATAAGTACCATTACTAGAATGTGGTCTGTGTGACGACTGTGATAAACAGTCAATATGTGCACGTAGGATAGCCTTTTCCTGGTCATCTGGGCTTATGAATACTTTACCCTAGAAAGAAACACAAAGAAATAAATTTAAAAAGTAGCATGTACAATTGCAGTCTGTCATATGCGGTATAGGAAACCTAAGTGTTGTATCAATATATTGATTTTCCCGTGAAAACTAGAGTCGTTTTTTTATGAATGAGTTACACCGTTTTACACAAGGTCATCGATCCGTTCTTACTGTGACGAAATAATATAAGAATTGTGACATAGGACATTTACGGGAAAGTACATAAATTCGAAAGTCGTCTATATACAGACAACACAGAGAAAATTATGGATATAAATATGAATATAACTATAAACGATGACATGACGAAAACATGTGGAAATATTTAAAGAGGCAGTATACACGAAAGACATGTTTCGATAAGAATACTGACAAACCGTGAAAATATGAAAGTTAGATATCAAGGAAAAATGTGTATTGTGTCATAAACAGGACTATGATGAACGTAATTAATAGCAAAACCCTCATGTTTTGTCATGTTTGACCAGAGCTAATTAATTATGAAGGAATATATATTCACATCACGAACGATGACCTAGACATTCTTGAATCACATGTTCACAAAAACGAAAAGTTATAATGACTTGAATTGCAGTTTGAATTGACTTTGTTTCTTTGTCTAATTTGCTCTTTTCTGAATTAGAAGACTTATCACTCTTTTAAAAGTATCCCATGTAAATCGGTTATGATTTCTACTTAACTAAACGTAGCGTGGCGAAGGGGTAATTGTTATTATAAAACTATTTGAAATTTCTCGCAAATTTGTTATGTTATCGGCAAAAAATCAATTGATAAATGAATAAATAATTCATCAAAAATCTAACAAATAATTGGTGTAATGTATGCAATATATTTTGTATGACTGTCTTAGCAGTTTCTTATTTTTTTTAATATTATATTGATTTGTCATTTCTATGTTTTATTCTGTTGTGTATCCTTTAATGGGTTTTTTAGGCTGATTTCATTTATTTATTATAGTGAATTCTCCCCTTATATGCTTATTTTTTGGTTTTTAATTACAACATTGTTTAATTAATGAATATGACTTCTACTAAACACTCACAACTCCATCGTGTATCTAAAAATTGTAATCGTAAATTCTTATACGTCAATAGTCATTAATCCGTTGCGTACATTCAGGTAACGCTTTTGCAACTTCGTTACCAATTGAAATCTATTGACGCCATAATCTCGTTTCCTGTTAACACCGTTTTCCTATATTTATCGTGGTCCTGGCATGTCTCGCTAAAACTAATAGATGATCTCTTTTTAAGCCGAATTTATCAAAGTTGTCGGTTTATCCTATTCCATATTGTTTTGGTGAACATGTTTTCTTATTCGATGAACACCTGCGCATTTATTAGCTAATTTGGGGGTTCTATGCATATTGGGCGGGTTAAAAAAAATTCTTTATAAACAGTAAAATCATCGTAAACAGAACGTTAAGGATGGCATCAAAATAACTTTCATTCGTGTTTATATACAAAATAAACTATATTCTATAATTGTCAACTTTGTGTGTGTGTGTGTGTGTGTGTGTGGAAAACCGAAAATACTGTCTTTTTTACCAAAAGAAAATGTCAAAAGTACGTAAAAGGAAAAATGTATAACTGTTCAGAATCGTCACTTTTGTTGTAATTGTTCGAGTGATATTTTCCGTATATCCATTATTACGGTGTTGTTTTCCCCTTTTTCCAATAAATCGAATTTTAATGTTCAGATAAATATGGGATAGGTAAAATTGCATAATTCAATTTACGCAGCTTAATTTGAACATCTGTAAATATTCAGTAAAATACAGATAAAACGACAGGATATTTGAACAAAAGATGCAGGTTTCCTTGTTCCTTTTGTCATGACTAAATAATTACAACATCCACGGTTGAAATAGATATATCATTGTTATTCAAAGTTGATTGTCATATTTTTAGCTATTTTTGTTTTGATATTGTTAAGAAAAAGTCGGTCAGGAAGAAGTTGTCATATTGATGTTTTCATTTCTCAATTTTATAAAAGCATATCTGATATAATATTAAATTTCAGCTCCATGAGATTTAAAATATCATTTGAACAAAGACTGACATGTTTATAAAGCATCACTTCAATAAATTTTACTTGCATAACACTTTAACTATTTTTTAATTAATCTACAAAGCTGAATATCTAGTGACTAAGATTGGTAGATGCATCTAATCTGATCATTCCTAAAATATACATGTTAAGAACTTATATGCGTAATATAAAGTAATAATATAATGTCAGGAGGTTTAATTGGTAAAGTTGGATGTTCATTAAAAACACAACTTGATTGTATATCAGTTTAAAACTTAATATTTTTTTCATGAAAAAGCGGGGCTTCAAATAAAATTTTTGAGGACGGAATTTGATTAAGGTCAAATCACATTCACAAATTTGTCAAATCACATATGTTGTAAAGGACCACCTCGTAACAAATCGATATATGTACACTATAGATTAATCCGTAAGGTATCCATGAAATTAAAAGCTTAGTAAGAATAATAAGATACCAAGAGAAAAAGAATTGGCGATGCTGGAACATGTTAATTACAAAGTAACATTAGTTCTGGTATCTTTTAATTTTTGTTTCCGTATATCCATAATTACAGCATTGCTTACCCTTTTTTTTCAATAAATCGTATGTTACTGTGCAAATGAATATGGGATGTGCATAAGTGCATAATACTAGTATTCGATTCCGCAACTAAATTTGGAGATTTCAACGAAAAGCTGTAGGTTCCATTGTTACCGACTAAATGAAAACAACATCCACATTAGAATAGACATATAACTTCAGAAGATTACATCAAACGAATACATGTTGGTAGTAAGTTGAATCACAGACACATCATATATGTTATTCAATTGGGGATCATGAAGTTAAAACTTGTGAAGTGTCGATTTCGTCAAGTGTTAATTTCATATTTCACTCGTTTTTCCTCATACATGTAACTCTGTAGATCATTTTTTGTCAGCAAAATGCTCTTGTTAATGAAGTCAGTATAACGTGAGCAAGAACGAACGTAGAGTTTTAATTGAGATATGTAAACGCCATAAGATTGGACAAAAGTATGTTTTTGCTGAGAAATGGGAAGTTCATAATTAAGTTAGCTGAGAGCACTCCGTTTCTCAAAAATAATAGTTTGAAATCGTACATCTGTGGCAATATCAAGGAAAAGATTAAGATATTGAGCAGACCATATGACAATATTTCTGAAGGCTGTCTTTTGCTGTAGAAAGAAAGATGTTGAGTCGAACATCTAGACGACAAAGCTATATATCGTTCTTGATAGAGATTTTTGTGTAGTTTAGGAACGGGATATTTAAATCGTCACTTTTTAATATTAATACAAAAGGGGAGAATAGAATTCCGAATTTTTAAAAATTTGGTATTCCAAATATTAATTTTTAGATATTAAAACAATATTGTTTGAGGCTTTGTTTGCTAGAAATATCCACAACCTCGGGCTTCTTGAAAGGGTTGGAAACATTAGGGTGCTCATGGTATATAAATGTAAAATAACGAAAATACCAAACTCTAAGTAAAATTCAAAACGGAAAGTCCCTTATCAAATGGCAAAATTAAGAGCTCAAACGAATGGAAAATAAACTGTCATATTTCTGACTTGGTGCAGGCATTTCCTTATGTAGAAAATGTTGGATTAAAGCTGGTTTTATAGCTATCTAAACCTCTCACTTATCGTACTACATAGTAGTTTTTGAATTCACTTCTTAGTTCATGACCGACCAGCTGTGATCCATTGTTATATATTGTCCAGTTAAGGTCTTCTGGCTTTTTCCTAACCTATTTCATAACATAGTTATTAACTGCATACAAAAGTAACATGACGTTTTGCCAATTCATAGACTTGAGAAATCGATATTTCGGGATTTGCGGTTCTCCATAGGAATGACAACTCACTGTTGAAAAACATGTCAATAAACGTGACATGTTTGTTGCCTTTTAATTGTTTATTACATAGTATGAATTGCCACTTGAAATAAGATATGTGTATCACATTGAACATTTTCCTGTAAGGAAACAAAGGTGGGCTAATTCTTTCAATCAGTCTTTCGATTTGATATGAGGAATATCTTTGAAAAAAGTTTATCAGTCAGATTTTTTTTTTACTACTGCAAAAGTCTTGCATACTGAATTATTATATCCCGAAAGTTCACTTTGATTAAAAGAATATATAACTTTGTTTGCTTACTTCTACGTCATTTGGTCTCTGGTGGAGAGTTGTCTCATTGGCAATCATACCACATCTGCTTATTCTTTTTACCGTTTAAATTATCAATATTTATTTGCAAAACATTTAACAAGTCTATTCGGAAGACACCAGCGAAATCGCGAGCATATGCAATATCTATGTGTTTGTGAGTTTGTGTGTGTGTACATATATTTTTTTACACAGAGTAGGTTCCTTTTTAAAATGACAATTACTGTATAAATTTATACATTAATCAACAAGTCAGATTTTGAAATCATTTGTTTAAAAGATATGTTTCCCTTTTTATATACTTCTAATGCATCTTGTTCACATAGTCGTTCCAATACCAATCCTCGTGTTAAGAACAGTGTAGTTAAAATCCATCTTTTATATTATACAGTAACTAATATATATCAATAAATCGTGGAATTCTCGGCTTTTCAAGATCTTTTGACAGCAATAACTTTATATTCGAAATTTGGTAATCACCAGATAATTGAATGTCAAGTTTTAATTGAAAAGCATCCTGAATTATTACAGCTGAAAAGTGTACTGTCCAATCACGAGTATAATTATGCTAAAAACCCGTTACATGGAAAACACTTGTCTACGTTGTGAATTTAATTCGTTTGTCAAATTTTAGCATATTTCGGTAAATTATCTTCGATTGTCTCTTGAATACAAGACAAGCCTTGAAAAGCAATTATATGAGATCTATAAGTAGACAGAATCAAAGACTGTATATTTGCATAGCATTTAGAT